ACAATGCATCAAGGAGCAACAGTTGAAAATTGAGAACTTAAACAATCTTGTAACTAATTCAGACTTGAAGAGGAACCAGCCAGGGGTACGTATGCATTCATTGGCTTAGGCGATTTTTTTGGATTGTTATAAGATATAAGGCATAAAAAAGATGAAGCGACTTCTGCGTAAGGTTCCTCAACCATTACATCCAGACATTTTGCTGAAGTAAAGATAACTTTAAAGATAACAATAGGCTTTATTTAAATTCAAGTGACAATATGATTTATGTGGTTGATATAGAATGAATCAAAGATAGCAAATTCAAAACATCTCATTCGCTATGTTAGACTAGTTATCATTACTGTTAAGCTAATGTGGTGGACTCATGTTCTTGGATATGTAAAAGTTTTGTTAGTGTAACATCTTTATTGGCAGGACTTTATCAGTTTAAGAAAGACTCCAGATGGGCTATGCAATGTCAATGATAGCAGCGATGTTCCTGGGACTCCTTGCTTTAAATCAGCTTCCCATTCCTTTGTGGTTGCTCGGTCAAGTTATGCACTGTCTGAATTTAGTCCGATGGTTGATTCACTAGGAGACATTGCTGATGAAGACACTTGGATGAAACTTAACAAGGGTTTTGTTGCAGACCTTGATAAACTCCAGTTTACACCTGCAGTAAAATGTCAACCCACTCCATTAAGTATGGCAACCACGGTGAGTAGCTAACATTTACTTAACTCCTATTATCTTCCAATAGTGAAAATTATTTGTGCACGAAAATCTCACAGAATCATATCGAATAGAGACTCTGGATGCAGACCAAGTCTCCTTCCCTTTTCTTTGGGGTTGTAGTCTCTTTATTCGTTTCCTTTTCATAGCAGCTTGCATTTATCAGAAACTGGCTTGTGTCTAGCTCATGTAATGTTGAGAATTAGTGACTGCTGAAACTTCATATAGATGAATAGATTATTCTAAGTTGACCATAATTGTGCGTTAAATTTCATTTAGGAATACTCACGTGAAAATCACAACGAGGTGGAAAATCTCAAAAGTCAGATTGAGTTGCTGACCAATGAAAAGGACAGTCTTCAGGTTAGTCTTTATTGGTTTTGTTGGTTGTTCTAATGAAGATTCTCTTTCGATTTTAGTTGGATAGTTCTCTGAAGTAGCTATGAGCATAAATTGAACTTGTTATCAAGATTTCCTGAAATGAAAGAAAGATGTCATCGTTTTTACTTCCACCTCCTTCATTTGATATATTCTTGATTTCCTTTTAGTTCTTATTTCTAATTTGCATTTGATATGATGGATAGTGGATACAAACTGATTTGGATTGATTATGTATCAATTATGTACTCTCAGGTAAAATTCAATGAACAAGTAGTTCTGAACAACAAACTGATGGAAGAGATGTCTAAGCCCAAACAAGAAACGCTTCCCATGAAAGAAATTCCAAAAAGGCTATTTGAGTCGGTTGCTAGTTGCAAGGACATCTACAAGGATGTTATAGTCACAATGAAGGTGAACAGCTTATTTTCTCTGGTGTATATTTTGAGATTATTTATACAAAGACATTTGAGTTTAAGTGTTTTCTCTTGCAATTTGTCAGAGTTTAATTGCTGACAAAGAATCTCCAACGGCAATGCTGCTTCTTGATACCACTGAAATCACGACGAGCCTTCTGTTAACTCTAGAAGCACAATTCTCGACGATAATGGATTGTCAGAAAGCGGGTAGCGTGGATCATCCTCTATCTGATCAATGGGAAACACTTCATGTGAGTCTGAAGAACACAACAACATCGTTGGTGTCGGACGCACAAGCAAAAGATGAATTTCTCAAGTGCCACAACAAGGTAGCTTCCTTGTCACAATCGTCAAGATATGGATCAATTTTACTTCTCTTTTCAATAGTTTTGATAGGATACTTTGTCTCTCTTCTTAGGAGTTTAGTCCAGTGAAACTTCTGCATATGCTGAAATTAAAATAAATCAAATAAAATGGCATTTTCTTATACGGGTTTTCCTGGTAATTTGCAAATAAATAGCAAGCACTGTTTGTTACATACTAAGCGAAAGCTCTGACTTTCTATTTTCCTTTCGTCTTCGGCACATCAAACCAAGTCCCCAATTTTTTGCAGTACACTATTAACAAATTCTTTATCTAGTGGGAGATACACTTGAATCTTTATATTCTATGTTGGAAGGAAAAAAAGACACTGATTCTTGATTGGTTAATTAGATTTTTGTGGTCAGAGAAGTATTTCTCCATCTCTAAGGCAGGTTTTGAATGTGATTTAAAGGGTCAAGAAGCAGTTGGTTTGGAGGAGAAAGTGAAGTCTGAGCTGAGCATCATCAAGGAAAGATATAACGAGCTGGAGAAAGAGTTGAGTTTAGATAAACAGCTTCTAGAAGCTTCAAGAGAAAGCCATGAGAGACTGGAAAAGGAAGTACGGTTCCTGAAGAAAGAAAGAGAGTCCTTAGATGTACAAGTCTCTCAATCATCTCAGAGGTTGAGAGTAATTTCACATGAGAAAGAGAATGCTTTAAAAGATCTTAACGTCGAAGTGAAGCGAAGGAAAGAGATGGAGGAAGAGATAAAGCAAATCAGCTTCGCTTTCGCTAACAGGCACAAATCTTTTGTGTCTTTTCACAATGAAATCAAATCCAAAATGCAGAAACTAACCACTCAGAATTCATAACAGAAACAGCTCTTTTTGTGTTATTAATGTTTGAAGCTATTATTATTGTTACCATTAGGTTTATGTGTTCGGTAATGGTTATGAGATATCAAACTTGTGTTGAACACCTCGTCACTGTAAACTAAATTTATGAATGTTAAAAGTTTCTTTCCTCTTTAGTTTCAGAAACC